TCGCTTCATAAATATGACATTTTCATTTCAAAATATTGACTTAATGGGGTCAGAATCCAACAGCCCCTTTTCCTATCGTGTCTTGACGCTCACCTTCCCTTTCAAGCAACATAACAGTCCTGTCGACAGCGATCTATCTATACGAGCTGAAAGCTGTCCGTTCTAATAAATCCTTTCCTGCCTATTCTATCGTCTTCTTCACAGCTTACTTGCACAGTGGCTCGATATTTTTGCTTAATTTTCTTGTGTCAACAAAGAACTCCTCTTAGTCGTGCACTAATCAAATCAAACACTTCATCTGAACACCTAGAAACTTTCAGAAAGTAACGAACAGAGCCAGTCGAACGCCAATATGTCGAAGCCTGATGAACCAACCGTTGTGCAGCTGGAGGATTACAAGGCGAAAAATGTACGTTCGAGAGTATCATAGACATCAATGGCAGTATGCCATGTTTTCCAGAAACCGAATCTGATGACCACCTCCTATGGAGCTCCAATTGCCGACAAAACAAATGTGCTTACGGTTGGACCAAGGTGAACCTCATGAGTTGATAGTTCAAATTCATCTTCGAAACATATTCTCACACGCAAAGGGACTGCTTCGATGGAGATGATCTTCATGACTTTTTGAATATGCATTACTACTCAACTGATGAATTCTCAATCTGCTCTAAAACTCAAATTCAACGATTTTCAAACTCCTTTGCAAATTATACTTTCGAGGTGATGTTCTACTGTCATCAACTCCTTCATTTCAGGGGTCCAATGCTAATGCAGGATGCTGTGTATATTAATGAAATGGCCCATTTCGATCGTGAACGAATTCCTGAAAGGGTGGTCCATGCCAAAGGAGGAGGTCTGTTTCTATCTGATTACGCGGCCCTTGTGACAAAGCAAATCCCTACTCTACAGATGCCATAGGGAAGATATTTCCGCAAGAAGTAAGATGTGCGAAGAATCGCGAAATTACTATCCGACTGGCCTTAACTTTTTGGGTGGGAGCGCTTTGCCATCGCCATAAAATCTCCAATTTTTGGTTGCTTTCTTGCTTGTCCACAATATTTACATCTTACTTGAAGTTTAAAGTTTTTGGCGGTAATTAATCCCGTCTGAAAGATGCGCCCCCACACTGGACTTCCATTCAGAATCGTAGTGGCGTAATGAGTGCGTATGTGGTCTCTACATACGTAGGTTGCCTTTTATATTTTGAGATTTGAGAACAGAAACAAATACTATTTATTGAAAATCGCTTTACTGCCTTTCAAAATTCTCCACATTAAGATCTATACACTTTTGCAC